AAAAAAAAAAAAAGAAAAGAAAAGAAAAGAAAAGAAAAGAAAAAGAAATATGAAGCACAAGGGTAAAAATATGTCCAATTTCGAGATCAGGTCATATATACTAACATGTCGATCCTATTGCATATCAAGGATCTTCATTCCCAATCGAAAGCTGGGAAAATCCACATATCAGAACTTCAAAAACTCGCTGAACAGAAATGGAAATATATATATACAGATTCAAAGTTTAGTTTGAAAAGTCCTTATACAAGCATAGGCCCATCTATTAGGAAATTGAAGCTAAAAGCTTGTTAACAAAGTTCCAATTTGCACAGGTTCCACTAAGGTAACACAATCGAGTAACAGTTTCATGAAATAAGAAGAGAAACAATTGAATGTTCGGTCTTATGGTTTACTTATGTTATTAGAACACCATAATCAATGCACACAAACTTAAATAGTGATCAAGGTATAAGAAGCTCTTCCATCATACTTCAGCTGAAAAGCAAGAACAAGGTAGGACAAAAAAATATATAAGTCGGCTTAAACTCCAAAAACTCGGGTACATCTGATTGGTCAGATATGGATCATTTATTGGACAAAAATTACTGAAACTCGACATCCATAAACCTTTAAGAATGCTTGTCTAAGCGAGTGAGATGGCTAGTGAAACAAGATTAACATGAGAACATTAAAAGAAAGATCCAAAATATCAAAGGTGGCCCAATAAACAGGTCATTCAAGTTCCCATAACACAAGAAAATAGAAAGAAAGGATGAAAAAGGGAAATAGAGGAAGTGACACACACACATAAATACTTTGACGGAAACATCAGAGATGAAGTAGTAGCACAGGGACAGGACAGAACTTTCAGTAGTTGTTTCACCAGAGGCTAGTTCACACCCCATAACTTGAATATACTGTTTAATCTTCATCCTAAATGAACTAATACACTCTGTTTACCAGTGTTTAGGACATTTTAAGGACTGCCAAAGATACAGGATAATAATTTGTCAGCCATACGAGGTAGGTTGTAGACAAACTAATTAAAAAAAAAAAAAAGTGGGTATACCAAGCATAATATTGACTGCATATCAAACCATCATTTTAAATTTTTACTCGGTAATGGCATGATAAACCTACCTTCCTTCTATGTTGTGTTCTTATAAATCATGAATGGCTGGAAACAACTATAATAAAACACCATGAAAGTTGGTTGAGTTACGACGAGAAGGCCCAAACCAAACAATAAATGAGCATATTTCATGAACACAGGTTTTGTAGGCAGCACGAAATCTCTGCACAAATTCTTACAGGACAGTGGTTGCACTTTCATTTTATCTTACTTTTCATCCATTTTTTAAGAAAACCTATCTGAAGCAATGATCATAGAAAAAGAAAATGCCTTCATACCAGACTGCCATAGTAACTAGAGGATAATGGTGCGCATTGAACACAATCACATGGAACCCAAGATAGATCACTTCCAGTATCCAACGCCACAAGAAATAAGACTTTTGGTGTGCCTAAGGCAATCCACATATAATTTAGCCTGTTTGAGTTATAAAAAAAGTAAGTGCCAGAATCCTTAACAATGAACAGTATGTATGGTGAAAGACGAATTAAAATTGTGGAATAATTAACTCGAACAATTTCCAAAGAGTAGTAAATAGAGCAACTTTATCAACAAGAATTAATTTTTTTTCTATTTTACTGTAATCAAATCTCCATGACATGTCGGAGTATAATTTTTCCGCCAAATAAAATGTTGACAGAAAATTGAATTAATAAAAGAAAAGAAAAATGAATACTAATCCCACTCCCATCTCAAACACAAAACATAATTTACACGAATACAGCAAAGGCCGATATGTGTGTGTGAGAGAGAAAAAGTATGACCAAAAACACAACATAACTACAGAAATGAAGAGTGTGTGTGTGTGTGTGTGTGTGTGTGTGTGTGACAGAGAGAGAGAGAGAGAGATAGTATGACCATCCAAAGTCATTCCCCAGAGGCAATGTGCCGCTGCCCGCGGACGGATAGAGAAATTGATACTGAGGGTTCAGCTTAAGCGTCTGCCGCTGGACATCGCTGCTCAACAGCCGCCGGTAATACTCCAAACTCCGCCGCTGCGGCCACGGACCGCCACCCGCTCCAGCTCCATTTTTCGAAACCCTAACTCCGGCGTGTGCCCTCGCTTCGTCCGAGAATCTGTGCACCAGCCTCGCGGAATACACAATTGGCTCAGCTAATCCGCACGCAATTAGCGAGAACAAAAGCAGAATTAACCGAATCTCCATGGACGGTACGAGATCAGAGGAAACCAGGACTCGAGCGCCCCCAGAGGAAGTCAGTCAGCGCGTGTACGTGTTGTGCCGGGCAAATGTACGCGTACTGTAGTTGTTCTCCTGCGCGTGTGCGGCTGAAAAGAGGCGGAGTGAATGGCTGTGGTGTCAAGGGTGGCAGGGTAGATGTAGGAGAGAATTGGGGCTAAATTGGGCGGATGACGACGGAGAGAGAAAGTAGGTGAGGGTGGGTTTCGTGGCGAACGGAGGGAGTGAAGAAGACGACACAGAGCAGATTAGTACACTGAGCAGCACAAAAATTAGACACACAGGAAAAAGGGGAAAATAAGGCAACTTTTCTAGCCTTTTTATTCTTTATTTATTTATTTACTCACTTATTATTATTATTATTATTATTTATCACAATATTCCATTTATATCTTTTGTTGGTGTTATTTTTATTATTATTATTTTTTTGTACAAAAGAGGCCAAAGACCTAGATACGGACTCGACGGGGATAGGATACCTCTATATTACCGTGGCTCAGCCAGTGACGTAGTCCTGCGGGAGGGAACAAAACTTTGTGCAAACCGAGGGGAGAAGAAGATGTTAGGTCCGCCAAATGATCAACGGCAAAATTAGCCTCTTTATGCACTTGTTGTATTTGAATTTGCCAATCCAATTGAAACATGCTTAGAATAGTCTTTTGGTGTGATTGGGTATGGATTGAACTAATTTTGATTGATTTTTTTTTTTTAAATATAGTTAATTCTTAAAAAGGTGTTATTGTTAGTTGTTAGTGGATAATAAAGTTTAAATTAAAATAATATTTTAAATTAAAATAATTAAAGTTGATTTGTTGTAAAATAACTAAAATAATTGGAAAATGATGGTTAGTCAGAATTATGTGAGTGAATGAATAGTGAATTAAAATTGATGTGATGTAGAAGAATGATTGGTTAATATTATTTAGTTATATTAATAATATTGAAGATAGTGGAGTTTGATTAAAGTTGGGTTATATTGAGTTTTGACACAGATGTTATGGAACCATCAGATGGTTCTTTTATGGAGCCATCCATTCTTGGTTGAGTTTCTTAAACAATCACCCTCTAAATGTAAAATATCAAATAATATAGATTAAACAAATAATAACGTTTTTGTAGTAAGGTTAGTGTAAGGAACGGTTAAATATTAGGCAATTATATTTTTTCAACAATTATACATATTTATTAACTAAAGTGACATATTTGAAAAAATAATATAAATCAGAATATAACATTTCACGATATAAATATACATTTTTGTTACGATGAATTGACTGATTCAACGATTATATGTTGTCTCACACAATAACCTTTGTGTAGCATTTATGTTTGATTTAGTTATGATTTATGAACATGAATATAACAACATGATGAATTAATTGTTAGAGCTTGATGTCATAATTTGAATGTAAACAAAAAGAAACATTGAAATAAATAAATCATTCAACCATGCTTTACTTAGGTGTAAAGCATTACCATTTGTATTAGACGTGCAAGCAAACTGTTAAAAAAGTATTTACACTAATCACAGTGACAATGATTAATTATCAGTGCAAATCACAGGTTATTTTGGTAGCTACATAGCACTAATCACATGTAACAAACACTTCTCTTCCAACTTTTATTTTGTATTTTCTCCCTCAAAATTTAGACAAGAATATAAAACGGTAATTTTTATGATTAAAATTGAAATATGTATTCGATTTCCTACTTAGCATGACCGGACAAGGTCAAATTAATGCTACATGGGTATATTTTCCCATTAATTTTTTTTTTTTTTTTTCTAAAATATTTTGTTAATTTATGCTTTAGCAACATCTTATAGTTAAATCTTGTAGGACATATAACATAGGAAAATGCTACCATCCCGTTACGGGATGGTTCCGTTGTGTTTTTAAGCGTTGGATTGACTACCCAACACTATATTACATGTATATCTATGGCTAGAAAATACAACGGAACCATCCCGTAACGGGATGGTAGCATTCTCCTATAACATAATTGTAAATAAACATTGTCGCTTATATTTGTTTCAATATATGTGTATCAATTATACGGAAACATGTGAACTGACTGAAGAGTTCAGTTTGCACAATATGAACTAAACGAGAAATGTAAAATACAACTCCAATGCGGATTCGTAATGTCCCCAAAGATACAACGGCTATTCACTCGAAAATTGTAGCACACCAGTCTTCAGAGTTCGGCGAACAAGAACAGAGTCGAGAACTGAGCACTATATGTATGTGTGAGGCTATGAGAGAGTTCAGAGTGTAGTGATATGATCAGTCTATCTTCTCTACAACTCTATATTCAATATATAGGAATTTCAGCACAAGTGGGAGACCTTTGGTGTTGAGCATGTAACAGCCCAGTCGTTAACAACCACCATCATACCACCTGATAAATGGGCAAAACAATTCAAGTGATTAACTCACATTCATTCCACCAGTAACTTTTGAAACAGTCTGGTGGTGGTTTTACATGTCCAGCTTCAATTTACCTGGATGTTTTTACACTTGTTGGGTTACAACTCGAATCCAAACCCACTCACCTTCAACCAGTAACTTTGAAACAGGTGGTGGTTTCACATGTCCAGGTTCAATGTATCTGGATGTTCTTACACTGGTAGGGTCACAACCCGAATCCAAACCCACTCAGTTTGGATTTTATTTTGAGGTCCAAAATAAAAGATATATAGTGGTTGGGCCCAAGCCTTACACCAGCCTAGATCGTCCAAGGTCGCCCACAATCTAATTGCGAAGTCCCACATCCTAGGCCAGATCCTGAGCCAGCCGACGGGCGCGAGCGCGTGGTCGAAGCCAACACCAATACTACAATTTAACTCAACCCAAATTAATTATTTAGCCATCAAATATTCAGTCAGGGTCAATCCCAAGTTTTATAACTGATTTTTCTAACAATATTAAAGTTTCGGTATGAGTAGCATTACGCAAACATAACTGTTAGATAATCACACATTTTTAAAATTAATAGTACTTTCATATTCAAATATTCAGTCTCATATTTATGCTCACAGTGAATATCACGATTTACATAGAAGAGGTGTATGTAGTCGAAAGATCTTGACAAACATAGCTAGTTGACACATTTTTGAGGTGAAAACTATCGTTCAAATATCATACTTTAAAAAATAATGTAAATAAAAGTGAAAATTTTAAGGCTAAAGCACGTGCTTTTATTTAAAATGTATGAAGGGTCGATCCATTTATCTGTTAGATTTTCTTACACAAGAATATATCTTAAAATCTTATAAAAGTTAGGAATATACCAACATGTCAAACTTCTCGTGCTAGTAATTTTTCATGATTTAAAGCACAAAGTTTATAAATCAAAAGTTTGATTTTACACTCAACTTTTGTTGTTCTGTCCCAAAATGTTTATGAAAGGGAGAAAAAAAAAATAAAAAAATAAAAATATTTAAAGATTTAAGATGCTGCTTTATTGTTGACATAATTGTATTGAAATCAAGACATGCTTATTATGCATTAACCAGAAAGTATAAATTGCAAATCGACCCCACCTGTGAGGTTAATTTCTTGTTTTGAACCCCACAGGTTCATTATGAAGTAACACGCGTCTAATCTATTGCTTATTTTTCCTTTGGAGAATTCAATTTTCAAGGAATTACGATTATAGTTGCATCTTTCAAGGATGAGGGATGGTAACAGTTTACCTAGAAAAAAATAAAAAATAAATAAACAATTAGATATGATATGAGATAAAAATCGACTTAGGAGCCCGTCTAGAGGGTGCTCGGACACCATAATTTTTGCATAGACGATCATTTTTAGAATTTTCAACGATTAGACAATGTTTAAATAGTCCAATAATTGTGATACTATTCATGTCTAAGTTGCTTAGACAGACTAGAAGGGCGCCTTAGCCTAGACAGTTTTGACGGAGCCTAAATAACCATATTTTTTAGTAATAAAAATAGTTAATATAAATTAGGTACAAGATTATGTATATTTTTATGCATTTGACATAATTAACTAATATATTTTATACAATATGCTTCATAAATTATGCATGATGACAAAATGAAAATGAATTTATTAATGTTCTAAGTCCCGCCTAGGCGTAGAGCACCTAACAACATTCTAAATAATGATTGTAAATAAAGTTTTTTTTTTTTTTTTTT